TTAATATTTGGAATTATGACATAAACTTTGGCGTTCAGGGCTTTCCAAAGACCTTGGGAAGGCAGAAGTATTATTCGTTATCATTTCAAATGTCGAGACTATCGTAGTTAGGAAACTCTCATGCTTTGTGATTAGTAATTTTGTTATATCAAGATTTCTTTCGGAGGACGGGAGGTTTATCTACTACTATGCCCAAACATTTTTTGGATACCACTTGTATAGGGAAGCTACTTGTGCAGTTATAACAAAATTTTCAAAGATATAAGCTCCTACTCTACCTATGGAACGCAGTCTTAAATCTGTTAAGACTTCTTCCTTATCAGAATCCATGAAAAAGTCTGTTAGTCCTCCTGACTCAGAATTTCCTTGCCTGGACGGAGGATCTAGCCTCTATATTAACACAGTTTACAGGTAAAACTGATAGTTTCGTACTTAATTCCTTTTATTTCACTTAACCTTAGATCCACACGACATCCTGGTTAGTTTCAACGTAAAATCCCTCTTTATCAAAGTCCCCTATTCCTGAAGCTTTCAACATTATGTCAGATATATCGAAATCCGAGAATCTGAAACCAAACCGTAAGTATTGCTTGCTTGTCTGGCATATATTTGTCTTATAAGGGTCATAATTTTTCACATAATAAAAATGCAAATTTGAATTTTTTGTTTTTGGAACAGGTATAAGTAGTAGTAAACTATGTTACTTCAAAAATGACAACAATCATTGGCATTTTCAGAAAAATATGCTGAAAAATAGCTACCGACTACTGGTAATGGAGTGACCACCCTGTAGGTCGCTGGGAGGAACGTAAATCATAGGGAGTTAAAAACAATAAATGAAAAATGAAGAAACGAAAATACTCATCTACTCAAAAAAAAAATAAACGCAACTGTTCAAATGCGATGGTTTTCCTCGGTAACAATTTACGTTACTAATTATTATAAGCAGCTTTCAGCTCGCTCAAAACGAGACGTTTCTAAACGCTCAACGGGGCAACAAAAAAACGAGGGCTTGGGAAAGCGAATTCATATTACTCAATAAAATATGCATAAAAAACGGGGTCACGGGTGCCGGTGCGGAAGGGCGAGGGGGGGGGGGGGAGGGAGGTTTGTAAAATTAATCGGGTAGTTTCGGCTAACACGTAAAAATCACGGATTAATTTGTCAAACGGGTGGCCGCTAAAATCGACACCGCCGCCCCTATTAAAACGGACAACTCAATTACTTTGGACGCCATTTGCGCTTTATTTTTGTGGTCGCAAACGCAATAAAATGTGTCCAAATATGGGCGGGAATTACTGTCTCGATGTAAAATAACCGGCCCGATAAAATTGGGCTTTTTGATCGTTGCGGGTGTTTTTACATAAAAATAGACGTAACGATCGTCTGAAACTCGTTACTGATGGTCTTATTAACGTATCAGGGCGATATTTCATTTTCCCCAGATTATAGTAACCGTGCACAGTCTGGCAACGTCGCAATCGGTGTGCATATACCGTCGTTTACACATCTACGTCGCCAGGCGTAAATAGTTGCGTTTCATTGGTTGAAAATAGTAAATACAATAATTGTTATGGTGCACAATTTAAAAATATTTTAAAGTATACAGGGTGGTCCAAAAAAGCACGACAAAAAAATACATATAAATTTTGTTTTGAATGTTAATTTTTAAAAACTACAATATTTTCCTTATTAGACGGGCTGAAATGTGCAGATTTTCAGGATATGGCGTAAAAAATATTTAGCCTTACCATGTTGCCTATTCAGTACAAAAATGAGATTTCTTTGATATCACTGCGTTTGTTTTCAATCAAATTGTGACTTTTAAAATAACTTACTTTTCAAATAGTGATTATTTCTTAAAAGTCCTTTGGTTAGTTAGTTATTGTTTCGTTTCAACTTAAATTCTGGGAGATATGTAAACCCTGTACAAACAAACGTAACAGAAGATGTTATTCACCTTCGACTAGCTGCTCTGCAACACTCGAAACTTTTTAAATTCATAATTTCACAACAAAATTAAAAATTAAAAATTATGTGTGAACATTTTACTGACTTCTTTTCTCGGTTCTTTCTCTTCAATTTTATTAATTTTATTTAAATGCGTTTTAAAATTGAATATCGATATCAAGCCTACTATCCTCAAATTTTATTTTTGTTATTGTTCCGGAATCATCTTGAACATTCATATAGTTGAAAAGAAGTTTTAAAGAAGATTTTAGAAATGAAGAAATTCAATATGGTGCCCTTCGGCCGTACGCAACATAGTAGGCTATTTATGGCGTCGCCGTATCCTTTTACTCATATCCCCAAAATTTGCTTCTACAATAAGGAAAATATCGTGGTTTTTCAAAAGCGGCCATTTTATTTTCCACCCTCTATCTACGTAAGGTTATCGAATTAAAATAAAACAAAGCTAGACTAATTTTTGCCTACTACTACTACCGGAATACTACGAATGACGAAAAATAATGGCAAATAGAACTTCTCTATACCGTGATTTTGAGCAAAATCTAAACTTCTGCAACTTTGTAAGTGAAGCAGCAGAGGTTTTATCGATTTTCATAATTTGTTTTCTGGATTATAACTTTAGGACTCACTTTCGAACTTGTAATAAGCCTTTCTATATATTTTACTTTAACCAACTTAATCAAAGAAAAATTATTCTTGAGTTCTCGTTTTGTCATCTTTATTCCATATCTACAACATCTATATCAATTCAATCTATTTGAATTTAATACCCCCCGTAGCGCAGGGTTGAAATCTTGGCTCAACAGCAAACGGGCCTCAGGTTCGATCCTCACTTCTCTCACAAAAAAAGACTTTTTTCAAAGCAATTTTTAGAGTCAGTCGAAATCACTGGTAAAAGATCTTGAAGGACCCGAACAAATTTTGCACCGAATAAATTTTCACGGTTAAAACGACGAGAGTATTCTACGACCAAAAATATAGTGCAATTATATTGCTAGAACGATTTAAGTATTTTCCTGGCCTTAACCGCAAACCTTCTTAAATTGGATTAAGCAATGATGATTTATTTTAACATCAGGTGATATGCATCGTTCTTAAGAGTTTAATCTAAATTTTAATACATTCGTATATATTACGAAGGAATTTGAATATGATCCTTTCAATAAGTACTTATTTATGTACCGAGCTTTGCTTTCACTAAACATTTCAAAGGGTACTTGTACTGTGTTTGTCTTACAGCCAATAACAAAGCTGGTCTAACTGTCAAAAACGAAATATTTATCTAGAATGATTAGTTGATAATTGAACTAGACAGTAGCGATAGTGACGACGTTTAAGTGACTGCTACTTTATTATTATTATGTTTAATATTTTGTGTATTAATAATGATACTATGTAGAAGTGTAATCATATAGAACGTAGTAAATTGTTACTTTGTACTAATTTTTTTATATAAATGTCAAGAATTGCTCGGCAAAAAAGATTGAAAATATACTTATATCCCGTTTGTTGGTGTAGGTAGATAAATTCCTAGGACGGTCCTGAAATGGTTACGAGTAGGGATCTGCTCGGCAGGATGTTGTGTATGGAGCGGGTTTTATAGTAATAAACAGTAGGCACAGTAGTTAATCACGGGGTCGGTTGTAAAAGCACTATATTTCTGGTCGAGGTATATATCATAATGTTTTTTTAGGATCAAACACTATTTCTGGTCATGGTATAGTCGAGATGTTGTTCGGAATAATCCCGTTCACCTGAAGATATCGAAACTTTCGCTTTTTAATCTCCCGTCGCCATCAGAAACGTATAATTGGCGGGTTTCCGATTATCTCGCCACCCCCCCCCCCCCCTCCTAGTCCCATGGTTCCCGTCGCCGCGTTTTATTGAATTTCGCGGGCGAAATAATCCCACGGGGAGTTTTGGTTAGTCGGCGAAGTTAAATTGGACCGGAAGGGGGCGCAAAGTTACAAAATTTGTTGTGTTAGTTTAGTAGTTAGGTGGAGATTGTGTATACGGTGCAACGGGTAATCATTCTGATTCGTCGTACGGCTCTGGAATAATGCTATCCCCTCGCCCGCCCCACAATTTATCGCTAGTCTCTGTCTAGAAGTCTAAAATATGGCATTCCCAAGGTATTTGACTCAAAAGAAATTAGAGGCGGCTATGGAGCAGATGGATAAGGACAATAACAATGAAAGTCGTAAGTGTTATTTTGATTTAAGTATTCTTACGTATTGTAGCGTTCCATTCCTTGTAAATTTATGCTAAAAATAACTTGAAAAAATATTTACAGAACATGTTGACGCGGTCGACGTGGATACCTTGACTGAAGAAGAAGATATGAACGATAACATACAAGAGCTTGGAGAACCAACTGTTATAGTTGGAACTTTCGAGTTACATACACCGAATGATACAGCTGTCCTTCAACAATCCTGTAATTCATCAACTACTGAACCTGAAGGAACTAAAAAATAGGTTTTCTGGAAAAACTTTGCTTGAAATATTTTTTATGTTTTTTGATGACGACATGATTGATTTGATTTTAAATCTTACGTTGCTTTGCGACTTTTAAAAACTGATAAAACAATTACTCAAGGAAATCTTGCACCTGCCATGGATGAAGTGCGTTATGATAATCAAGGTCACCTCATGATTGTTCATGCTAATAAAGCCCGAAGGAGATATAGAATCGGCCACAGCCACACAATTTACGTTTGTAATAAGTGTAATGTGCATTTACATACTTCATGCTTCGCAAAATATCACCAAAAATGAAACCGTATGTTACCAGTGGTGCGCTCAAGCACCATAAAATATTATGCGCTTTTTTGTATCAAATCAGGTTCTATTTGGTTGTTTTCTGTCGAGTTTCAACTTTTTTTTGCATATTTATGTATAAATTATATGTTTCTTCTTATGTGCCCCAAAACATTATTTAATGTTTTTTCCCAGTGGTTCGTTTACGCACCAGTATTTTTTTGTATGTTTCGAGTTTTTTTTTGACACATGTGATGTATTCTTAAGTGTTAAGGCCGGTCCAGACACTCCGTTTTGCACAACGTTTTAAATCCGCGCAGTTTTAAGACGGAATGAAACCGTTGCAACTTTGAGCGTCCAGACGGTACAGTCTTGACGGTGCAGTCTTGTATTTTCCGCTCAGTTTTGTGTGATATCGCCATGGAGGAGGTTCTCCTGTGGTCAATTTTCGCCTGCTGTATTGTAAAAAAAAAAAAGATTGGAACATATCAGAGGAACCGTTCGTTCAAAATGGTCACGGAAATGGCTTTTAAAAAGGCGGGACTTTTCCCATATAAGATTATTGAGTGAATTACGTGACGAACCTAATGATTGGCGAAACTACTTGAGAATGGACATGGACACGTATATTTACTTATTGGAATTAGTGACACCGCATATCAAGAAAGAAAATACTTGTATGAGAGCAGCAATATCACCACATGAAAGGCTAACAGCAACTTTAAGATTTTTGGCAACCGGCAGAAGTTACAAAGACCTGGAGTTCACAACAATTATATCAAAACAATCGCTAAGTGAAATCATTCCCGAAACATGTGAAGCTATCTACAAGGTGCTGAAGAAGGATTACTTGAAGGTAAGAAATATTGTTATTTTCCATAAACGATTTATTATTTAATTGAACATTATAAACTTTATTATTGTAGAAAAGTTATTATGGTAAGCAATAGAAATGCACGCAAGTATACTTCAGTTTGGTTGAAATGATGACAAGTAGGTTCCAACGGGAGAGTGGGCAGGGGCTTGGTGGGCGCGTGTCTGTACATCTTGTTCACCTTGCTGTGGGATGATGCATGAAACTGCCGGAATTTTCCCAATTGTTTCATACTCCTGAGTGTGAGGTATTTGTTCTGGGACGTAGTTATGTGGCATAGGCTGCGGCTGCTGCGAGAAGGAGTGGTATTGTCCAACTTGTGAAGAAAGATTTTGTTGCATTCTGATTTGATGTGGCGTATTCTGTTGAGGCCAATAATTCGTGGCATTCATTGAACCAAAATCATCTTGTCGCTGGCTTTTCATGTCAACAATTCGAAAATTTCTGGTAAGCGTACCCAACTCAGCTTCGAATAAAACGTCGGAAATTAGTTTCTGAGCAATTATGTTTTGTGAATTCGGGACTTCTCTGAGTTTATTAGCCACATGTTTTCCGAATACCTGAAATGCATCATCTGCCTGTAGCGATTCCAGTTTCTTCCCTATCACCTGCAGGACTTCAATTGTGCCATCATCATTCCCAACAGCCTTCCTCTTGTTACGAGTTAACTTGTGCGAGGTATTGACAGAATGGGAAGTACTCGTAGATGCTTCGGAAGCAGGAGTAGCAGGGGTAGTAGCAGCTTCACTGAGCCCACTGTCAATAACAGTTTCTTGCACATCGTCTTCCACCTGAAAATATTAAACAATAAATGTATTATTGATCTCCATATTTTTATTATTTTTACAAATTTTCAATGATGAAACTCTTGCAATATTTCTTCTTTTTTTGTTTTGTTTCAGTTTCCCAAGACTGAAGAGGAGTGGATGGAAATTGCAGCGGAGTTTGAAAGAATGTGGCAGTTCCCTCATTGTTTAGGGTCAATTGACGGAAAACATATTAGAATTGTGCCACCTAAAGGAAGTGGGTCCTATTATTTCAATTACAAAAAAACACACAGTGTTGTTCTTATGGCAATAGCCAATGCCAATTGCGAGTTTTTGTATTGTGATATAGGAACAAACGGTCGGATCTCAGATGGAGGAGTCATAAATAACACTCAATTTTATGAAAAACTCGTTAACAACGAGTTAAAAATTCCAAAACCCCGATCCATTGGAAGTTCAAACAGAGTTTTAAGATATGTTTTTGTTGGGGATGAAGCCTTCGATATGCGTCCAGACCTTCTCAAACCATATCGACGAGAAACATTAACAAGGGACCGAAGAATTTTTAATTACCGCCTATCTAGGGCGAGGCGTGTTGTTGAAAACACATTCGGCATTTTGGCTTCCCGATTTCGTATTTTCCACACAAGTATTAATTTAAAGATGCACAACGTCGATACTGTAGTTCTTGCGTGTTGCGCTTTACACAACTTTTTGCGGAGAAAGTCCCCCCAAAACTACACCCCTCCAGAAAGTATGGATCAGGAAAATATTTCTGAATGTACTGTTCAATTAGGTGAAAGATGTAACCCAGAATTAGTGCACGACCTACAGCGTGGACCAAGAGGCCACATGTTGAACAATGCTAACGGGGTCAGAGATCATTTCAAGGAGTACTTGAACAATGAGGGGTCTGTTCCTTGGCAAGATAGATTTATAACTTTAAACAATGAATGGCGTACATAAATAATTATTTGGTACTTGTAATTTTTTAGTAGACACTTGTAATAAACATTGTAAAAGCTGATTGTACCTATTAAATAAAAGAATATGTTTCAGTTAATAAAGCGATTAGGTAATAATAGGAAATTTTGTTGTTTTTTTTCTTACCAGTTGTGATGATTCGTCGCAGTTTACAGACTCTTCACTTTCGTCCATGGTATTCCTCGACGGCCTTGGTGTCTCCTGATCATTGAGAAAATGCAGCAAATCGAAATACCACAGAGATGGCTTGTAAATTTCGTCTTCTCCAGCCCCAGATCGAATCGATTTGTTTACCTTTGCCAATTCTTTGCGATAAACGCTTCTCAAAGAATTGATTTTCTTCACCACTGTCTCCCTGCTCGCGTTGACATCTATTTCTTTGAACTTTTCAACCAATCTCTCGTACGCTTCCCCCTTTTTGTCCCTGTCACTGTACTCTTTAGATTTAACTCGCCAAAGGCACGGAAAACTTTCATAATGTGAAATAAAATCCGTCAAAAACTCGCGAGAACATTGCCGCAGATCTGCCATGGTCGGATGATTAGAGAAAACTGAGGAACAAAACGGATTGGAAAACGGAGTAAGTGTCCACACGCAACGACATGTCTGCGCAGGTCACGGTTTTCAGAGCTCACGAGATCAGTTATCGCTGCAACTGTGCAGTCCTCCCGACGGACTCAAAACTGCGCAGTTTTCCGGTCCACACGCAACGTTTTGTCTGCAATGTCTTGAACTGCGGAGACAAAACGTTGTGCAAAACGGAGTGTCTGGACCGGCCTTAACAAAACAAATCATTTCAGAGCAAAAAAGTATTTTTTTATTTTTTTTATGCTTGAGATAATATGGGTTAATGCATCTGTTGAGAGGGGCACAACTACGATCGCTCGCTTTTAGTAACTGGTGTCGCCATCTTCAGGGTGAGGCGGGAAACTTTTCAAGTGACCATCGTGTATGGGCGGACAGTCTCTGGTTCGCGAAGATCTCCTCGCCGGGGATCAAAATCGCCGAAAACTAATCAAATTATTTAAATGAAACCGTATTAAAATTCAAAAGCGTCGAGGAATCCAATTATTCTCTAATCTGTCAGAAACAAACCGAATGCTAATAAGGTTTGCGGTCGACGTAAAAAAAAAGAAACGGTAGCGGCTACGACGAGTCGGATGTCGCGCGTGCAGGAAAAAAAAGTAATTTGGAAGTTGAATACCGTCGGTGGGGGGAGGACTGACGATCAGTATTCGGGTCCCGGCTCTTTAACAATTACGATTTTTTTTTTCTTAACCGGGTGTACGTGTCGAGAGTAAACGAATGCGCGTTTTATCGCTGGTAATATTTCGAGACGGTAGCAAATTGTCGAAAATCCCGAGCGGCGTTCGGGTTCGGCCGGGGGGGTGATTTGTAACAGTCGATCCGCCAACAGCCGAGTCGTGACGTATATGTGATCAAGTGACAGAATGTTTAGATTAGAACCAGCGACTTTTATAGAGATATGAAGTTCGAAACTTATTTAAAATGTTATCTTAGAAGCACAGAACCAAAATATCAAGCATCCGGAAAAGTTGAAGAGAACTGTATATTCATCTTAAGGAAGGGGCAACCATGAACACTTGAAGGACCAAATACAAGACAGGAGTTCCAAGCATGTGTAAGAAAGGAGACCAAAAGAATATATGCAATAGACTTGCGACAAAGTAAAGAAATTATTAGTAATACAAATATTTGTAGAAATGTGTACTACATTACACTGTACGACTGAAACTATATAAGTATTAATAAATTTCAATTATGTTACGTGCCTTACTTCCTTCAACTCAGTATATACCTCTAGGCATTGGAATGTACCTGTGTGCGAATTGTGCGAGTGTAGTGTATCTATTGAGATTGAGGAAGTTATAAACAATGTGTATTTTACTCTCATTGAACGTGGTGCCAGCAAGCAAGCATCATTAGATGAAGCGAAAATTCCAATATCAACTGTATGGAAAATTGTGAATAATCCCATTTCAGCGAGGAAAAAAAGAAGCGACGCTGACATTTTCTCGAGTGTAGATGAAAGTGATCAAGATATAATACGGCGCAAAATTTACCAATGATACAAGGAACAAAGCGTGCCTACATTTAGATTTTAAAAAATTGACAAAAGGCAAGTTTTAATGGAATCTTTTAGAATTCGAAAATGGCGACTGGAATATACCTAAGATTCTTTTCTGGATTACCATGAAGACACCACCGCTGGTTTATTTGAAATGTGGTTCTACCAAACATTCCTACTAATAGCGTCATTGTAATGGACAATGCAAGTTATCACAGTAGACAGTTCACTAAAACCCCTTCTTCATGTGACACAAAAGCAACAATCCAAAACTAAATGTATAATAACGACATTTATTTTCACGTAGATTGTACCAAAAAGCAATTAATTGAGGTTCTACAAAGCTGGAACCTACAAAAGGAATACGTCTGTGGCAATTATGCAAAAAATCTAGGACATACAGTTTTAAGGCTTCCACTTTACCACTGTATATTTAATCCCATTGAACATGTTTGGCACCAACTGAAATCTGCCATTCCCCGTGTTTTTAACATCCCTCCACACAGTTGGGCAAATTCTGTTAAACATATAGAAAAAGCAGAACAATCGTACATCCATATTGCAAATAATATAGAACAAATAATAATAATACAACAGGCGATGACAGCGATAGTGATACTGATATATTATGTGTTTGTGTGTAGTGCTGCTGATTTATTTACATCAGAAATAAGTAAAAACGGGCGTTATGGACACTTTAGTTCAAAACGAAATGAGGGAGGATAATATGGTCAAATGGCTTTGAAATTAGCCGAATCAATTCGAATATTTGATGATAATGAGGATGATGGGTGTCCAATATCAAAAAATCAGAAGTATTACGAAGACTAAGGAGTTACGAAGGGTACTTATTCTTAGAATATTTCGAGGCTTACATTTTTAACATAATTAAGGTCTATTTTAGAATTTACCACATCTAGAAGCGGTGCTAGAAGAGTAGCTATCACCTGGAACTAGGAGGAACCAAATAACAAATATGCTTTTATATCAAATAAAAATATGTTTTTGATGAAAATAAATTCTGCAAATAACTTAAAGTCGGGGAGGGATTCTTGAGCATCAGGCCAAATAACAATAGTATCATCGCTAGAAAACAATTAAAATAATAAAAAAAAAATTGACGACAATCCCAATGCCCTGCAAAAGTGTCGAATAATACACCCCGTACAAACTGAAAGTATTTTGTTTTTTGCATTTTCACCAAAAAAATTTATTTTGACAAATTTATGGCCATGTCCAAAAATTTTAATAACAATAAACCTCGAAAAAAAATTCGGAAACTGGGCACTATTTTATACGCATCCCGACGCCAACGCCTGATTCCCTAAAATCCGCTCCGGGATAATGGGAACAATGGCGGCGGCAACATGGCCGCAACAAAAGGCTTGAGGACAACAATGCGAAACCTGTAATGGTGCGTAGTGGAACTGCGGAGTGTTTTGTTCCCCCGTTTTCGATTGATGTCACTGACCACAGATTATCTTAACATCTACATACGACATACCTGACGACTACTGAAAAAATTCAAGCAAGATTCTTTAGTCTTAGTCTAATAGTCAAAGCAGTTAGACACAGTTGTTTTGATAACCACCATTTTCTGAATTTGGTCATATATTTGGCTTTTCCTCTGCATTCAGTGTTTTCCTCCACTCCCGTTAGGCTTGGACGCATTTTGAGCCGATAATTGATCGTACTTGCAGAACCTTGGAAAATTGCTAAAGTTTATCCTATCCACAATTTTTCGAAAATGTTGGACATTATTTTACATAATTGTAACTTTGCTCAAATGCGCAATAAACTCTCTACGCAACAACGTGGTTTTTATGCGAAAAGATCATGTATCACCAACTTTTGTTCCCTGTCTTCTTATGTCTGTGACTTCCGGAAAAAGGAAGGTCAAGTTGACGTTATATACAAAGCCTTTGACCAGATAGATTATTACTTACTGAATGAAAAACGTTTCAAAAAGTCTTATCTGGTGCATGCATGTTTGCTGCTTACCATCTTGTAGCCTTTAAATCGAAAGATTCCAGGCAATACCGTTTTACAAACCTTTTCATTATAACGCTTTTCTGTTGGTTATTATTCGAGACCGTGCCTACACTTATAATGATATTGATGAGATTGTTGACTTTTCAAAATACCGTTCTGAGTTTTTTTGAGAAGTATGCATCAGTTAGGATAGCTGCTGTCAAAGGTGTCTCAACCTTTGCCGTTTTCAATAAGAAATAAAGTGACACTTCTGGTTTTAAGGTTACCAAGGTTTACCTTACTTTTCCTTAATACCATATGGTTTTAGCTTATTTAAACCTTTTTTTTTATTATTATTCTTCATTATTAGCTTCGGGCGAAATGACATCAACCGGCCAGCATTCAGCCCGGATTAAAACCCCGTGCACTTTAAAAGAGATATATACGAAAATAAGCCACAATTATATATTAAACTAAATACAGTTAATATATACTACACTTGCATTATTCAAAATGGTGGACATGTGGACAATGTAACATAAAATTATTAATTTTATTTTCAAAACGGTTTGTTAAAGGTTACTCCTTTAAAAATCAAATAATCTTTAATTTTTGCAGTATTTTAAATAAATGATTATAGATTCATCAATTTCATAAAACATTGCTTCACAATTGAGAAAACCGTTTAAAAAGTCCATCGCAGACCACCGTTATATATCTGTATATATATATATATATATATATATATATATATATATATATATATATATATATATATATATATATATATATATCGTCTTTTAAAAAGCTTGACAAAAATGCAAAAATATACAGGGTGTTTAATTTGAAAAAAATTGAGAACAGTAACATTTAGCGAGACATCACAGTTTCAGTCAAGCTCTGAAGAAGCCAACAGGATGATTGGCGAAACGTCAGCAAGTTCGACTCAGCAAAAACCCACGCAGGAGGAATCCAGAAGTTTTGTAAAAAGCATTACAGTGGCCTGTGGAAGTTTCTTTAAAAAATTAACTTTTGTATTCAAATCTTTTTTTATAATACTCATAGAATTCCGCCACCCTGTACATGACCTGAAAAATTATTATTATTATTAGGCAGGCTGTTTTCTCGGTGGAGCACTCTATTCTCCAGATTTAGTCTCTAGCGAGCCCAAACTTTCAAAATGTCGGTCTCAGCATCCAACTTTTCAGTGCTTTAAATTTTTTATTCGATGCGATGGCAGGACGTCATTTTATCTCGCTTTTCGTTGAAAAACAACCCTCCCACAACCCCGCACAGGGATTTTCCGATACACTCGCCTTTCAATGGATTTTTAAATCGAAACTTCTTTTTCTGTAATAATTCCAATCTCGGCCCATTCTTCCCCGAAGCGATACTATAACGCTTCCCGGTCAGGGGGTTGGGGGGAGGGAAATTGGATGTTTTATTCATCGCCCGTGCACTGCTATGCATAAGTGCGCCGCTGTACTCACCGGGATTTTTTTTAAACCATCCTCGCCTCTCGCGGAACATTTGGTCGATATGATTCATTTTGCCACAATCAAAATGGTGTTAAAGTTGCGTTAAATCACACAAGTAAGCAGAGTAAATTATTATTTGAGCAGAAGTTTCGA